GGAACATGACTATTCATTCATTCGTTTTATATGAAGCTATATTGGAATGTTACATATTTGCATACAGTAGTTAACATGTACTTGGTCATATTTTGTTACAGAGCCTTCATAATAGGTGCTCCAGAAACGCTGCTCCAATTTTATGAGTTTATAAACGTGCCCTGGGTTACGTCTATGATTTACATAGATCAGAGATGCGTTATACGTCTCTGCATAGATCTAGGTTGACATCGTTACATGTATTACATTATGAGTTAAACTCTATATATACTGGGTCCCTTATATATCTATAGATGCAGTTTGTATCGTTGCCCTCAACACACCAGAGACGTATAAAGCCAACGTCTCGGAACACCCCGAACACCTCAACGACAGTAGAGGATATGATGAGGAAGAACACCTGTAGGCTAAATGTTGTACAAACTAGCAGAGGATGTTTTTTTCTTTTTTCCTAACCATAATCAGAATTGACAATCACTGTAGTCTGTGAAAATTAAGATACTTATATGTTAAACGATAATTTGAAGACAGATTTGTGAACCTTAAAGAACGTAAATCTGAACAAGTGCCAAACTATTTACATTCCACCACTCAGTCCAGCACCTCATGTGCTTATTATACACGGTACCTCGATACCTACATGTATATCGCTTATCTCAATAACCTTAACACTTGTACAATGTATAAAACTCACTCATTCGAGCTCATAATTAAGTACATAACGATACCCCATGTACTTATTACTTACCACAAGTTCATAGGTACCCTCATGTATCACACGACATATTTTAATACATGATTTTATTCTTGTTATAAAATATTATTATATTATGTAGTACATGAATGTTTAGCAGTGCAACATATCTCTCCACACCTATAGGCGAAGGTCCGAAAATGATTTGTGTATGTGTATTGTTGTTGTTTATTTGTTTACTGTTATGTTGTACTTTATATATATACATGTATCACGGAATTAGATTAGATATATAAGTCCGTGCATGTAAACATATACAACTGAAGAGCTGTATAGCTTAACGTAATAAACTTGAACCTATCCACATACCAATACCCGCACATACATAACCTAANTGTTTCCTATTACAATGTGTGGATACATTGTAATTGACTATACACTATATATGTCTGTTACAATTTTCCTAGTATATACATTGTAATATCCTACACTTACACGTGATAAGCCACACTCACAGTGTGACATAGGACAGTTTATTGTTAGTGTATCCCGTTGTACATTTCTAACTCTATCTAAATATATGACAGCGCATTGCTCGTATTCATCAAAAATAATACTATCACAAAGTTTGCCGTCTCAACAGCACCAACATACCGAGACAGGCCAGACTGATCTACGCAAACAGATTGTTTTGTGCACAACGAATATTCCTAATTACTAGCATGATTTCTAATCTAAACATGTACGTGTTGATGTGTTAATCACCGATATTCCATATCGTGACACAAACATGATGACGACTAGTTAGGACTTGTACATAAATCGTCACAACAAATTCTAAACAGAAGTCATTTCAGTATCTTGCTTGCCTCCACACTTACATTTTTCTCCGTTCGGCTACACGGATAATTACAGTTAAACGGGCGTGTATCACAAACATTATCCTCGTTTTCATATCCCATATATAGATATGCACATCGATCAGATTTCCACGAGTTTTATTTGACGCCACAGGAAGATACAAACCTGTCGGTTAACAAATGTCATTTTAAAACGAATACTTTTCGTCAAATGAAAATATAAGTACAAGAGTATCAGAGATGACGTGTGAACACTGGGTTTACAAGGCTAATGTGTTAGAAAATGGCGTTCGTACGACGGTTTGCTGCAAAACTGTTTTAGATTTGATTTTAACGCAGTTTAACTGTAGTTTCTTGGAATGGCTCGGCAACACCATTAGTCTGAGTTAAGGATTATGAAATTCTACAGAACACATATCGACTCATCGCAAAAAGGGGTTTAGTGGACAAATGTCTTTAATCTAGCAGACAAAGATTTATTATTGGATATCCGGTACATTCCGTGGGTTTCGCTCTCTTTGTGGACAACTGATAAGAGAGCATAACCCCTGGAAGTTCGGGGTCTTGGTTAACACAGTGATAACATAACTGTACGCGATTTGATGACAATCCTTTAAACCTCGAATGGATTCGTTCTTTTTAAATAAGCCAATGCCAAAGATCCCGTTCAACAACCATGCCATTCTCAGTAGAGGTATTGTGCACGTGTATGCTCCTCACTGGTCCACGGCCTCAGTTACACCCATGTCGGTACGTCAACCGCCAGACAAGCAAAGCAGACAATGACATGAAAGCGTCAATGTTATGGCCTCCTCCGTGCTCACATAAAAATAGGATTTTCAGGAATAAGTTTGATATGTATTTAACGACACAGCTTTGGTAAAAGCAGGTCAAGAAAAATCCAATACCCAAATGTGCATGCGTTACTGCGGTTTTGTGGGCCCTACACTTCTTCCAGTCAGAATTTATATGGTAAGTTGATCTTATAAACTCTATATATAAGATTAGCGTTCATTCATTTTACCCGATGTGTGAAAAAACTGACAAAAATAGAGGTCGAATGCACTTGTAAATTTCAGACTTAGACGACACCATCTTATCAATAACACGTGCAAATCTTCCCTGGCGTGTATTTTCCCCCTCGCTGTATAACAATGCTAGGTTATGTATGTATATTCTTTACGTGCACAGCCCAATATGGGTTAATTATTGATCTGTATTCAACCGCGGGATAAAACATTTTATTTTATTTTTGAAGTAGAGTCTCGCTTTAAAAAGCGGCTTAATTACGGACACATGGGAAAGGATAGGGCATGCTACAAAAACATACAGAGATAAGCCCGGTCTTATGATATGCCTTCAATATACATGTTTTTTATCATACGTGTTTCCACAAGTGACATTGCCCGATCACGTTTGTGAATGTACATGTATAAACGTACAGTAATATCTTTAATCGATGCCTTTGGACTTTTTACAGCACTTTCGTGTTCCTCTTTTTGAGTTGTTTATTGCACACACATTTATCTATAAAAAAGGTTTCATTAAAACAACCTGATACACCAATATTTTAACTACATAGATATACGTCGTCATATTTAAAACTAATCTCTAAAGTTGTTAGTATAGTCCTTTCTCTGAAAAGAGTATAACGGTGCACATTTTAACTCCTGCTTTGACCGTTATTGCTTGTAATCCCCGGACACAAGTATGGACAACATTTCCATTACTCTAATTCAAAAGAGCTTGTACTACGCAGACACGTCAATACGCTAAATCAGCGCCTACTTCACACATTGCTATAACCCCGGTTCAATACAAGCGTAGTGATGGTCTGCTTCCGGTGGCGGATTAGAGAGAAGAAGCCACGTGACAATTCGACACACGTGATAAAAAGAAGACAGTGTTAATACTCTACATCGTACCACTAACATTTGTACAAAATTGACGACTCTAGCACGACAGACAATATCACCCGCCTCCGACACAATATGTAAATAAATACCGCGTTAGACGTGCGTTTAAACATGTCGTCCCAATTAGCAGCGTTTGTTCAGCGGTCGTACATAGACGTGTACACATTATTACACTGACGGTCAGTATTTAGTAGTATTGTATCATATTCCCAGACGAATTCTTTTGATACAACATACAGTATATTAGATTCAATAAGAAAATAACCATTAAAAGTACAGATTTCACTGAATGTGTTGTTTTTTTGCCTATTTCGTACCACTTAACTGCATGTATACGTACATAAATACTACTACTTATTCGTATATAACAACGATTTTAATTAATTGTCATTTTGTCTTCCCTCTTGAATGGATCAAGGATTAATCATTTAGTAGTAGGATAATACACTGGGAATTATTTTATACATATTACAGCAACATGATACTTTTCTCTTTGCATATGAAAGCATTCAAGATTGGTGATATGGCACCTGTTCGTGTATGATGTATCGAAATAACCCGAAAATATATGTGTAGCTACACTACGGTCACATATATATCTCTATTAATACTTACTTCAAGACAATAAAACACAACTGTATAACACAAGTATATAAGTACATCAGTACCGCCACGAAGTCCTTTGTTATATATCATGTTACACGTACTGTAACGGAAGTAGGATTGCGTGCGAGCATGACTATATCTATAGGTCATCATCGGCGTTAATCAATCACGACCGAGGCCTACCGATGACATGTAGGTTATAAATAAAAGAATAGGGTGTACCTTAACTACACGAATATAGCATTATTGGTAGGGACTGACGGATGATATACTGCTGCCTAACGATATTATGTAATCATCAAAACTCTGGCTATTGCAGTTAATTCCTTTAAGGATTTTTCAATAATTGTTTAACTGATTGATTTTGTACACCGGATATAGCTAAAATGAAGAACTATAAAAATGAAACTATGAAATATGAGATGATTCAGGAGGGAATGTAAAGCTCGTCTGTGGTGTTTGTAAACACGAACAGTTATACACGTGGGTTGTGAGAGGGTGAGAATACAGGGATGTAAAACAGCCCATGTTTTAAACAAATAAAGTGTAGGGTATATGCTATTGGTGTTGTCCTGTCATGCCACGCACGCGTAAAGAGTGACAACTTCTACACGAGGGTGTGTAGCTGTTCGTGATTCGCTTGTAACGCCTGTGTATCAACAGAGAAGCACGTGCTTTCATAATTCCGAAAAAATCAGGTCAGNGCCCCACCTGGAAACCCCCCCAGGAAATTTGGAAACCCCCCCAGATAGATCTCTGGATCCGCCACTGGTGTATGTATGCATGAAGCGCAAGTTGTTGTAAAGTTTATTTCGGGCACCAAAACACTGTTGCGGCATCAATAATCTTGAAGGACATGAAGAAAAGTATTATTTCACTGCAATAAATGGTATGTAGCATACAGCTGGAGAGAAGTCCACTTACCTATGACCGGAACGTAGAGATTTAGCTTAAGGCAATCCTCGGTCTGTGTAGACACATACGCTGCCAGTTTCTTCAGGTGCTCCACTCGATGTTTAGGGTACTTATGAGTAAGGGCCCTCTCATTAATGAGGGGCTGGGGACACACATCACGATATATAAGGGCCAAACGTAGCCCCAACCAGTGCTCCAGCGGGCTGGAAGGAGGCATATAACGAAACCCGAGAGTGGTGCTAAATTGCAACCCATAAAACGCCTCCACGGGTTTCAGCTTTGTATGGGGTTGGAATTCCTTAAGGACCCCTTGGACGTTTCCATACCTGGTGCTGATGATACGCTTGCCCATTCCAACACCAGCTTGGGCTGTTGACGCACTCACTAACAGGACACAGCCAACAACAATAGGAAGTAAATCCCAAAATTTCGGAAACATGACGGAATGACGTAGATAATCCTTTGTTTTGTAGAAGTTGAAGTTTTATCCCCGCGTTGTTAGACTTCTAGCCTCCTTACCTACAAACGATCTCACGAATGACGGGAGATGGGCTAATCGAGGGAGATCAATAGTAAAAATCGAGTCATCACCTCACTCTAAAGATGCAGAGTACATCGGATCGCTTCCAAAATTCAATTACCAAGCTATTCCATAGACCTTTCGATCAAGTATGGGCTGGGAGACTTTCGGCCAAGCACTGATCACACTCTGATAGTGTTATACACGAATTATAACTACCAACATGCTAGTTAGACAAAACTTGTCTACTGCAGTGAATTCAGCTTGTAGTTAAGTAAATCATTTCACATGCGGCTTTTTTCATTACTCGTCAAAAAATAAGTTAGTTAAGTTGACTGACTGAAGTTTACTTTCTGTAAATCCACAGAAATAAGGCTTAAACCGTCCACATATATTATCATTAAACAAAACGTCGCACAAACTACTGATTCTTCTTTTATGAATATTTAAAAAAAACACCACATAAAATGTAAAATATTAAAAAACAAACTGTAGCCAATCATTTACGGCACCGTATATCAGTAACAATATTGATTTCCATTGTTCTCTCGTGTAGAATTTCTAAGAAACACGAATAAACACTCGTTGTCCAGTATCGGTATTGGAGATGAAGATAGTACGTTCATAAACGGCGCTGTCCTAGCAGGGAGCGATTGTGCGCTATACAACTGCTCCGCGATATAGCAAGATACAGAGCCAAGCTCGATCAGCGCATTAATCGCAATACTGTTTCCCGGCATCACAGGCCACTGCACACTTCCCCAATCGTATGTTACTATAGCGGCACGCGCCACTATTTCTGTGGTGGCACGCGCTAATGTCAAAGGCGTACACGCGCTTGACTTGCACGCTGACCACCACACGGAACGGCCCAACAGGCTAGCAGAGAGATACGTGGCTACGGGATATGATACATCAGGGATTATGGATGGATCATGAGGATAATCTCTCCCACTAACACCATACAACTACATGTGAGTTCCCACTACATTTATTATAACGCTAGGATGCATTCGCTGGTTGGTATTTTTTTTTTATATTTAAGGCGAGCACAGTGATTTGTGAGTAAGGGCAGGTTGTGTGGTATACCCAGAGGAATGCCATCTACCGGCTTTTGGATCCATCAGAACAAACGTGAATAAATCATGGCATTTAGACTTTTTTCTCTTTGAACTGGAGAACATGTTTTCGTCGGCATCAATTTTAACAATGAATATATCAGAGAGGTAAGGAATATCCTGTTTTGGAATGAAGTCGGATAATTAAAGTTCCGTGCCGAAAAGTTTCCAATACAACCAGGGACTAAGGAAGGAAAACAAAGCTGATTCTCCAACTCAGTCTGGCTAGAGTGTTCGCAAGACGGTAGGTGGCTAGGTCGATCTGGCATGTTTACGTTATAATTGTTTCTACAGTTCATCTAAACACAAAAACGCAAAAAATGAATTCTAAGTCTGATTCATTAACCAACCTACTTGTAATAAGAACTGCAGTCGGAGAAATCTTTGTGAATAGTAATTTGTACAGTGAATGGATATTTTGATGTCTAAATTCTGAGGCGGTACAGTCGTGATGATGCGCGCTGTTATGTTTCCGCTGCTTACAATAACAAGCCACTCACGTGAATGGAAATATTGTTCCAAGCATATACAGTTCTAATTGTTTCGACGCCTTCTCCGCTCTTTGAAGATCACACGAACACTGATATGGTGAAATTAATACATTCCCTGAGCCATTATAGACACCGCTCGAAAACTTAACACTCAAGTTGTTAATTCTACGGGGGATGTGTTGATCTGATAGGCAGGTGCCCTCCTCGAGGGCGATGAAACAAACATGTTAACATAATAGTTCAGACATAGAAGCTAATTGTTTAGAGAATTCAGGTAAGGAAAACGCTTTTTTTTGTCACGATTTTGATTAGTTTTGACAGCTCCAAACTTTATCGTAAATGAATGACGCCCGTGATTTTTCGACGTACAGTATTGTTAACAACACGGCATTAAGATTGTATACAATCTCTCTGTGTTTCTGTTTTGACTATTTACATATTGTATACAAATGTATAACAGACGTTTCCTTAATAAAATATAGATATAAAACTATATGTGCTTTGTTGTTTAATACAGCTATATTGAATATTAGAGTTTGCAATAAAAGACAAATGTATCACTGTTCCAGCAAGCCATTGTTTTTGCATGCTGTACAGTAAGTATATCATAATATCTGTGTCAAGAGATTAAATATTTCCGGTATATTTCATTTTCAAGATTATCGAAAGGGAAAATATTTGATACTTATTTTTGTTTTGGCTTTTACTTGTAAAGAAATATCTATCAACTATTTAATTGAAATGATTGCCCTTATCATAAACATTGCCGTCGTACCTTATATTTGTCTATTTCTGTCTATTTACATAGAAAAGAAACTTTAATACAAGACAAAGATAAAAAGGACAGTCAATAACGAATCGTTTCATTCCGTTTCAAGTTGTGCCAAAATTGAAAAATTCAATCATAGGCATATGCAGTAGACCCTTGAGAATTGTGTTTCTAGCCGAACAGAACGAAGGGAAGGCTGACACGCGCACAAAATGTACACATTTGTAGAGTGCCCCGTTTGTTTTGCTTTTAGTATCTGCCAACTGTTTTGTTAGGG